GTACTAAAGATAACTAGGATTAGAAACTTCTTATTAAGGAGGATCGAGGTTAGGAGGACTATACGCGGTAAAATACTATCTATCTTTTATATATAATAGTATTAATACTTTAATAATATATTAATTATTAATTATCCCTTATTTATTATAATTATAATTATATCTAGTATACTCTACCTAATAAATTTACTTATAGTAGTACTCGCTTATACTCTATAAATTTAAGATTTAGATTTTATAATACCTCGGCTAATAGGCTAGGAAATTAAGGAATAATTATACGCTCTATCCTCGCCCGGCCTAAAGTAATATATTAGTATATATTAATAATTTATTAATAATAAGTTATTATATAAAAGCCTTTATTATTATATATATAATATATCTTCGCTTAAGCTAATAGGTTATCTAAGCGATAGGAATAGCGTTACTATCGATTTATATAGGTAAGAAATTAAGTAATATCGGTTTAATCTATAATCTTAGATCTATATAACTTAATATAATATATTAATATTAAATTAATAATATATTACTAATATATTTATAGCCGGTAGTATAGCCTTTTTAATATCCTAATAGTATAATTTTATATATATTTATTTAGTAAAGTTTATTAAATTTACTATATCTTTATAAAATTTAAGTAGAATCTTAGAGAAGCTTTAGTATAATCTAGTAGTAATATAAGATATCTTTTTATATTATATTTATCTAATAAAATAGAGGTTTACTATTATAAATAAATTATTAATAATAGATTATTTTATTTTTAATTACCGTAAGATCGCTATAGTACTTATCTCGAGAATAATATTATAGAAGGCTCTTTATAAGCGTAACTTTTTTAAGATAATTTTTATAGTCTAAATTAATTAATAAATCGCCGATAAGATAAAAGAAATATATATAATACTATACTAGGATATACTCTATTTATAGCCTTTAATCGCGGTATTCTAGATTAATAAATTAGAGATAGATCTTAAGGCCTAATATATTATTAATAGATTATTAATAGATTATAATATAGTACTTATCTATAAATTACTTAGTATCTATATCGATAACTATTATTCTTAAGCCTACGCTATAAAGATAGTAAAACTAGTATAGCCTTCCGGTAACTTTACTAATAAGTATAAATACTCGATAGAATATATAAATATATCTTTCTATATAGTTCTAGTTTATAAAGACTTAGAGTAATATTATAATTAGATTAGATATTAGCGGTAATATATTAATAATATATTAATAATATATTATTTTTACTTACTCTTATTATACTTTTTAATTATAATAGAAAATATTATTTTATTAACTATACTAGCTACTCGCTTATATAATATATTAGCCTTAAATAAGATTAATATAATAAGATACTTAATCTATTTATTATATATATAGATTACTATAATTCCTTCCGGATTACTAAATAGGTACCGAATATATTCCTATAAATAGCGATAATTAATATATTAGTAATATATTATAAAGATATTAATTAGTCCTTATTTAGAACTTTAGCTCTTTTTTATATTTAAACTTAACCTCTAAATAGTCCTAGGCTTTAGGGTATAAAATATAGCGTTATTTTAGAAGTAATATAAAGATAATATTAGAATTTATAAAGCTTATATATACTTCTATAAATATCTTTATACTATATTCCCTAATAAAGTCTTAAACTAGAGGATTTTATTCAAATAGGACTATAATAATATATTAGTAATATATTAATAATATATTATCTAAAATATACTTTTATAGAGTTTACCTCTTTATACTCGCGCTATAATACTAATTAGCTTATTAATAAATCTTATAGATAGTTTTATTAGTAGAAGCGGAGGGTAGGAGTATCTCCTAATATTTTAGAAGATTATATATAGGGTAGTAGTAGGATTAATTAATATAAAAATATAAAATTATATTAGATATTAATTATACTTCTCGAGATTACCGCTAAAGCCTTAGAGATATTAGATATCTATATAAATATATTAATAATAATTTAATAATATATTAAGAAACTATTATATAGTTACTATAAGATATCTTTTTACTTATTTATTACTTAATTATAGTATACTATATTAATATATTATTAGATAGGATACCCTCGTTAGTTAAATATATAAAATAATTAGGATTAATCTTATTAAGTATAGGGCTAAGATTATACTTCTAATAATCTTCGCGGTTTTTATATATTTAGTTTATATAATATAGATAGGGAATAGAATAGCGGTTATATATCTTAATATATTATTAATATATTAATAATAGATTATAGGCTATAAAAGATACTTATTATTTAATATTCTTTTTATATTATCTTATATAATTCTTCCTATTTTAAATAGGTCTTTTCTTTCTCGAATAGTTTAAGAGCGGTATAGAAGTAGCTAGATAGACTATTTAGTTAACGCTTTATAAATAAATAAATAATAAATTACTTATATAATTATTTCCTTCTCGCGTTATATTATTATAAATAGATCTTTTACTACTTATTATCTAATAATTATCTATTACTTAAACGCTTTATCCTTAGTAAAATAGTTCTTATACCGATATATCTTATTAATATACTTATAAGCCCTAATATCTAAATATATATAGCGGTACTTTATAGTCTAATAATCTAGATAGGTATTAAATACTATTATAGGCGCTCTAGAGAGCTTATAATTATATTAAATCTATAGAAGAGTTAATATATTATTTATAGATTATTAATATATTATACTAACTAAGAATATTATAGATTAGATTCTTTCCTATAGTATACCGCTAAGATCTACTATATATATATAACCCCTATTATATAAGAAAGGATAATTAGGGACTATAAAGATATATTTAATATTTAATATTAATACTATATCCTCTCCTTTAAGCGTAAAGGGTATTAAGGCTCTAAACTCCTATATAAGAAAGAAAATAATATATTAATAATAGGTTCTTAATATATTTAAGATTTATAATATATACTTACTTCGAATAGCCTCTTATACTTATCCTTTAGGTAAATCCTTCGCGAGCCCTCCCCTATTAGCTTATTAATACTAGGTATATCGGCTATTTTATACTAAGGTTAGTATAGTAAGAGGTTACTAAGAAGAGTATCACTCTTAGTAATCTATAAATACTTATCTAGGCCCGTAGATTAGTGACCTATAGTTGATATATAGTACGTAAGTAAGGGATAATGTATTAATAAATCATTAATTTCTTTAGTATTTATTATGCGTAAACTAAAAACATTACTAATTACTAATAAGCTCGCTAAGCTGACCGGTATGACCATCACGTGATTAGGTGGGGCCACCGGTCAGCTCAACTTTAGACACAGGGGTCAGCTCAACTGTCGTCACATTTATGTTGGGTGCCTGGGTGCCTTAGGTACCCATGGACCCACAATGAGACAGATCCATATCTGTAGATAGTTTCTCTCTTTCTCTCCTTCTCTCTTCTCTTTTCGGTCCAATATCGATATTACGAATCCATCTGCTTGGTTTTCTCAATATTCCATCGATAGATTCCACATTAATTTATGCCACTGCAGTCTTCAACGCATTGGTCATCATGTCAAAGCCGAGCAGTCCTGATTCCTCTGATGCGACGTTTGATGAAGACGAGTTAACCACATCGCCAACCTACATCAACCTGTGCAGTTCGGTCTACAAAGCATACAAAGAACACGACCCTTTCTACCATATATACGGGATCTCCGTTTCGGCTCAAGATGACAAATGGGATTCCCAATGGAGGAGACGTTCTGGCTTTCCGCTCGTTCATTATGAAAAGAAGTAGAATGAGTTGCGCCAAGTCTCGTCTACAAAACAACCCAGTGGCGAATCCTCAACCTTACCCCCTGACCCAACAGCTGCCTTGGGGTTCACCGGCAGTATCGGTCGGGGATACCAGAACGTAATAAAGGCTAAGGCCAGAACATACATAGACTCGTTCCTAGGTCTAGACAACACTGGAGCAAATGCAGTTCATTCGAGGCTTAAACAATTGCTTTCAGGAAAGAAATGCCACGAGGAAGTGCTGGTATATCTGAATGACAACCTTGATTACCGCTTAGCCGCCATACAACTAGCCTCTCAATATGTTTCGTTCCTAGAACTTCAGTTCCCTGACGGCCTGGCGTTCGACACGGAGGCTTGGTGTAACGACCTAGCCCTGAAGGCGGTAAATGATGATTGTTCAACTGCACAATCGAAGATAGAGAAGTACGAGCAGGTCCGCGAGTATATCGAACCCTGCAGCTGACGATTATCTTTTTTTGAATTTTTCTTTTTTAGTATTTCAGTATTTGCAATACCACTCCACTCTCCTTACGGACCAACTGATATCCTTACGGACCAACTGATATATATATAGATTATGTTATATTTAATATTTAATAGAGAGATTCTTGACCTGGAAAGTATTGTTGCTCTGACTAGAAACACTTGTCTTCGACACTAGCATTGTTGCGTCACGTGACTCGCGTTTCGGGTAAACGGGAAATAGGTAACTCCGAGGCCCCCAAGGTCCAGTAGAGGAAAATTCCATTCAACTAAACGCAGTCAGTCAGTCCTAACTGAAGCTGCAGGCTCTTCCACTTAAAACCAACTACTTACTAATTGGACTCTATAGTTAATCCTTTCTCACCTGCAACTCAATACATACGACCATAGGGTGTGGAGAACAGGGCTTCCCGTCCGCTCAGCCGTACTTAAGCCACACGCCGGTGAGTTAGTAGTTGGGTGGGTGACCACCAGCGAATCCTCACTGTTGTATGTTTTTGTTTGTTTTTATTATTATATTCATTGAGTCTTATCTATCTATTTCCGACAGATAACCGTACCAAGCGCCTAACACCAGATCAGATACCCTGGTGTTGGTTGGTATGCCCACTAGATACGCACTTTTGATAGGAAACCAGGAGAAGAGAGAGAGAGAGCAATGCAACTAACTAGTATTCGCCCTGAGAGGGAATATCAAGTATGGTAACCGTGACCTATACTCCAAAAACCATCATCAGGTATGTCCAAGTGGCCATCATTGATTTGTGGTGGGAATATAGTATCCCAAAGGTTCTGTGGGGATTGTCAGTAAATCACTATTGAGGTAACAAAACAAGACACTAGTATTTACCCAGTCGACCTCTAGCATCTGTGGATTTAGGTCGTCCGACGGTCCATTCAGTTCGTGAGGCGCTGTCGAAGAGCTCCCATCAGGCGTTGTGTTCGTGGAGTAGTTCCCGTAACCCGAGTGAAGCACTGGGCCTGTGTCTCCGTCAAGCCCTGGCTCTCCAAATTGCACCCAGGGAGAAATTCCTCCAGAAGCCGTTCCCCAAGTACTAGCTATATTGCCCAGAGTATCCAAATACTCATTGTCAGGACCAGGGCCATTTTCTATTGGCGTTACCGTAGGTGGTAGAAATAATCCCGACTGTACCTCAGCATGGCCAGACCTGACACCGCTGGGAGGCAGTGAAGCATAGCGAGAGCTCGTATCTGTCCCAGGTTCCAAGTGTGCATAATTAAATGGCGTTCTAGAGCCGGAATCATCGTCATCCCTCCGAAGCGGATCAACAGTCGAGTCCTCGTACCGAATTGGAGTCTTCAACCATTTTGTGTTTTGGTAAGCACGCGTGTACTCGACAATAATCATGAGGAGATATCTCGCTTTACTATCTCGGTATGCAATAACTTCGTGGATGCTCGGCACCACTCCTTTTTGATCCATCGGAGGGAGGTTCGAGATAGCATCCGCGAAGATAAAATCCAAGCAACACCATATGCGGCTCGACTCCCTGCGCATTGGGAAAAGAAAGACTTCTAGAAGCAACAGCAACGCAGTATGGTAGTCTTGCCAGGAAGAACTGTACCAGGCCCATTTCTGAAGGTCTGTTGCTGATTCTAGCTCTACCGCGGCTTCCAAAGCGTCGGTGCCTTTGGTCAGCACTATTTGGCGCAACCTGTCGGGAATCAGATATGTGACGCCGGTCATGTATCGATTCAAAATATTGATATAGAAGAGGCTTGTAAATAGCTTGAGCACTAAAATGGTCATCCTCTGCATCGGACTTGGAGACGCCACATTGAGATAAGGGCCGTATTTGGCGTCCATTTCAACGCGAAATGCCTCTACCTTGGATATCACTTTGGTCAGGCCAATTCTCTTTTGATCCAGTTCGTTGCGAAATGCTATGTTTTGCCGATGCATTTCCTGGCATTCAAATCGGATCATGGAGAATATCAGGTCGTTCCAAGGAAGTGAGTCCTTTGTATGCGTTCGCAATGAAGTCACGTCCAGAGGAAGTCGAGTCGTATACCCATCTCTGTGAATGAATGGGCGAGGACCTTGGGCTGAGCTTGTCTTGAGATCAAGATAGCAGATTTGATACCAGACTAAGCGCCGTGTGTGGCACTCGACGGGAGAAAACCCAAACTCAGTAGGATCACGGTGAAGCCCCATGCACTCGGCCAGTCGAATCAGCATACCGGTTAAAACAGAATGAGCTCGAGATATCTCGTTGAGACATATTGGAAGCTGACTATACATGAGCAATCAGTCATACCAACCGGGGAACAGCAGAAACACACCAAGTACGCAGTAAATGCCTGTAAGGTCTCAAACTTGCTTGCTCTAAGCAGCTGGGCTCGACCGAGAGCGCGCTCGGTACCTAGTTGCAAATTATCCTTCAAATCTTGCTTGGAGGTTTGGCAAAGCTCTGAAATCTGTTCTTGGGACATTGCAACAGAAGCAGAAAACAGAATGGAATATACTATTGCCGCGAGCGACGGTGGCACCGGATATCCATTTTCTATTGTCTCCCATAGAGTTTCGTATCGTTGAGTGAATGAAGGTCGATGGACAACTCGAGACACCGGATGAACCGCATCCCAATAGCATTCCATTAACTTATCTGCAGCAGTGCGAGGGGGGAGAAATCGAGTCAAATCCTTTCCCGAAGAAGCCTGGCTAAACAAATAGTCGGTAGAAGGTACCGTAAAATACGGCCCTGGTCGCAAAAGGTCCTCCGTTGTACCAGAGGTCATCATTGGGGTAGGAGGCCCTCTGGGATTCTGTTGAAGGCAAAGCAAGATCTGTAATACAAATCAGTCGTGAAGAACCACGGGCGGTAGGAAATTACTACTCCTACACACCTCGTCTGCAATATTGGGACGGTAATAGCCTCCGATCCTTGCTCCCATCCTCATCCTGCCAATTCTGAAGCCCAGGTCTTCAATATCATCATCAGCTTCATCCGCATAGGCTGCATCTTGAACTGCTAGAGGTGTCGGCTCCAAATAACCATCATCGGCGGAAGTATTCGAATCATCGCTTCCGGACTCTTCAGGCTGCCTTCTTCGCTTTGGGCCACCTTTGGGGGCTTCCGTTGATCCCCCGAAAAGTGTCATCGATCGCATCTTTGGCCTCTTTCATCTCGGTCAATCTTTGACGCAACTGGGCATCTGCGTTTACAGTAGGAACATAGACGCATCGCAACAGCGATGCACAGCAGTTCTGACAGGGATTCTATCTGGCCTATTAGTCAATTCCGACCCGGGTGTTCCTGGTGTACGTACTTTCCTGTCGCATTTCATCTTCCTCCGACGACACTCAAGACACGAATGTATCACCCGATTTCGTCGCCGGGCCTTTTCTCGGGGTTCGGGCCCGCTGGCAGCGGCGGGTCTATCGGCACCCGACGGAACCCCGCCACCGAAGGACACGCGCTGCGGATGAGCTCTGTCGGCAGGGGACGTGAATGCCGCCATTTTGTGGGCCACCCAATGATATAGACGGGGGTCATGGAACAGTTTTCATAGAACAAGAAGACGAGAAGAGAAGAGAAGAGAAGAGGCTAACGACATAGCGTGGATTAGTGACGTCCCTAGTGACATGTCAGACGATGCAAAATAGCCCCCTCTACCAATGAAAGATCACTATTGGGTGAACGGTGTCTTTCGGGCTAGTTCTCTGTAGCTGCCTAGACAGACAACCAGTTCACTACACTCAGTACTTAATACTCAAGTCCATTTACGGCCGTAAAATTTGAGGCTTTGCCCGTAAACTAGTTACCTTGTTAGGCTACTAGATACGAATGAATACCACTAGACGTTCAAATCTATTATAGTTTTCGAGTCTTACGGCCGTAACCAACTGTGAACACCTTACCGCATTTGGCATTCATCTTCGAGGTAGCATATTCAATAGTCTTGCCTTGCTCGGCACTATACGTTATAAAACCATTACACTGGTCTCTAGACTGAATTATTTTACCCAACATTATTTTATCCAACATTCAGTATATCTTGTTTCATTTTGATTATAATCTCACCATGGTCATCCCTACGTGCCCCCCAGCAAATACCTTTGTCAAAGTGGCTCGCCGAATTTACAACCCCATCGGCTTTACGAAAGGTTACAATTTTGTTCTCTGTAAGAAATCCAGTCCATAATCACGCTACTGGGTATTGATTTCCATAGACTTCATTTTCGCAGGTGCTTTACTGGGCTTCTGTCTTGCTCGTCTTCAATTTCTTGCCTTTAACGGCATTTTGTGCAACTTGGAGAGCACAACTGGTAGTGCGGCTCCCGGCGAATGCTACTGGTATTCGATGCCACGATACCGTATTGGAATCATCATCCACCTCGCCAGCATTCTTCCTGCAGGACTCCTCGCCGTCTTCCAGTTTGTTCCCGCGATCCGTCACAGATACCTCATTTACCATCGAGTAGCCGGCTATCTCATTATTCTGCTGGTCTTCATCTCCATTGCTGGTGCTCTTATGATAGCAGACCGTTCTTTCGGCGGTCATATCGCCACACAAACTGCAGTCGGGGCACTTGCTATCGCCTCCACCTTTGGCATCATCAACGCATACTATAATATCAAGCGGCTGCAGATAGACCAGCATCGGGCATGGATGCTTCGGGTATGGTTCTGGATGGCCAGTATTATTACACTGCGCCTTATCCAGGCCCTCTCCGCTGTTATTATCTCGATGTATCCATATGGCTGGTACCAGGTTATGCCATGTGCTGAGCTCTTGTACATAGCAAATTCAACCCAGACCGCCCTCGAAACAGCCTACTCAACATATCCAGTCTGCTCGCCTAGCAACTCAAATATGACAGTCGACAGCCAGGTTATCGTGAAAGCCAACTTCAATGGTGAGCCTGAGCAAATTGGTGCGGCGCTGGCTATAGGCTTCCCAATGGCTATATGGCTCGCATTGGTTATGCATGCTGTTGGGATTGAATTTTATCTTCGATTGACGCCAAAGGAAGCTGAGAGATTGAGAATCGTGAGTTATAAGAGGCAACTGGCGGCTGGAATGAAGAATCCGGGGAGTGCAGGGCTCGTGCCGGAAAAATTGGGGGATATGGAACTTTGGGAGCCGCAGCTGAGGCACAGAGAGGACAGTCGGAAACAGTTCTGATGGAAGATGAGACAAATTAAAGGAATTGTAGGTAATTTTCAAGTAGTAGAGAGCTTGCGTGATTCTATGTTGGATGCCTGAGGCATCACTATGGCAAGTGATAGAACCTCCATGTATGATAGCTCTCTCTCCTCTCCTTCTCTTCCTCCTGACCTCGTGCGAGACAGTCAATCCACAGTGGTTTCTCCATTTCATCTCCATCATTCTATAAATACTTTCAGTGCGCCAACATGCTCCGTCCGTGTTCCCGACCTAGATCGCAAAGAGCTGTATCAATCCTGATGAGCAATATATGAATTTAGATTACTACTGTGTGTGGGAGAAAGCAGGAGAAGAATTGTTAATTGGTAAAACTAATAATGCAGGGGTTTATATACCCTGCAGGAATCATCTGATCATAGCAAACAAATAGCAAATAGCAAATAAAAGCAAAAGGCTCAGTCTGTAGCAAACAACATGCTTGCGGATTGTGGCAATGCCATTTAGGGTGCTGATATTCGTATACGGCCATATTATAATTGAGATCTTAGAATGTAATAACTATATCTTCTAATGCCCGCTTTGCCCGCTAACTATCATTGTGGCTGCGCTTCTTTTGTACGAGGTCGGACCATAATGCAGAAAACACGTTTATTTGACATATGCTTCGCAGTGTTTGTCATTTCGGGGTAGTGAAAATACATCGAACCCCCTTCCGGGCCTCAAAGCTTCCCAAATTTCTAATCTGTTTCACCGGTTTTTGGCAACGACTGCCAAATTGAAAACCTTTAGCAGAAACCTCCTCAGATCGTCACACACCAATTCTTGGCATTGCCAAGAACCTAGTAACCTAGTTTCTACCTAGTTTTATACATAAACATGTACAAATGACACTAATTAGGAAAGTCTTGGCATTATTATGTATTTTTATGCAAAAAACTGGGTTATATATTTTGAGATGACTGGGTTTTGCGGAAGTCTAGGCGGAGTGAAAACTGGTAAACGTAGCATCCTTGTGGGTCTTAACTCGGGCTGAATACGTTGAGTATCTACATCATCAACTTCAAGTTTTGTTGCTGAGTGGGGCCGAACCTAAGAGCGTCGTTGCTCTTAGTGGTCCAATTTCGTACACGGTGCGTCCCGCGGGCTGACGGGTGACGGTCCGTGAGTAGTGGGTTAAAAGCGTGTGGAGCGTTCCTAGTGCGGCCAATGAAGCATTAGTTACTGCTTGCAACATTTCTGAAAAATCACCTTGACACTCAGTGTCAGGCTTTTCGTATCGTTGCAAAACACCACACTGAGCGTTTCATTCCGTTTTCACCCCGGAATGTCGAGTCTAGCTGCCAATGGGTCAAATGTCGATTGCGTCACCGAGGTCGTAAATGGCCGGCACTTAAGAGATTACATGAAAGGCTGCTGTAGAGCCTGAAAGATGGAGAGATAAAGATGATAGGATTCTATCTACCTGCGGAGATCTACATAGGGCGATTTCCCAGGTGGACGGCTGATCGCCCGACTTTAGTGAGTGTAGCAAATCAGCCATGAACAGTGTAGACTCCATGTGCTCCTAGTGTACAATAAATTACAATACATGCTGGTCTTTCCAGGATTTGTTCTTAGGTTAGAGCTCTAACTTGATTTACAGTCTAACCATGGGTGGCAAGAGGTTCACAAACGTTGAAACATCTATGGATTCACAATTTAGGATATACTAATTGAAATTCAATCACCCAATGATATTGGACCAGCAGGTGATAAAGTTTATACAATCAATGACAATTACACATGGCTTTGCAGATTTAGAAAACCCTTCAGACACTAGTAAGTCACGCCAGTGTCGATGTTTTCGTCGCAGTAATGAGATCACCAGTTGGTTACGAGCCGGAAGAGGACGTGAGCTATCAATTTCAAATCTTTGGAAGCTATGGAATATTTAAAGACCCTCTGCTCCTTCTCAAATTAGGCATCATATCCTCAAATTGCCAAGGTTGTTGTTGAAGATCTTCCAAAGCTCACCTGATCTCCCCAATCGTTAAACCCGCGCCTTCGTCATTATGGTGCGAAATCTATCTGATGTGGCCACTTTGCCTGGCTACATTGGGCCGCCGAACAAGTTACCCGAGGGATCGGAGGACGAGGATCTAGAAGACGAAGATTATGACCCCCCTATCAATGATTTGGACACCGGTGCTCTCGTCAATGAATTAATGCAACAAAGCCTCTTGCCTAGGGATGTTGGTTTGGCACCCCACGAGCAAGCGTATGCTGCGAACACTCCCGAGGGCCTCACTTGTAAGCTCTCTGCACTGTCTGCGGCGGAGCCAAAGAAGGCGCAAGAAGGTTCTTATCGTGGAACTCAGTTGGTTCTAACGAAGGTCTACGATCTGATAGAGCAGCGGTAATCACATACCCAAGTACCCCGCGTCCCTTATTTCGCTAATGCGCCGCTCAGGTTCATGGCCTACACAGATGTTACAGGTATCGAACCTTTGCTTCCTTTGGCCATGGAGAGGAAGGACAGGAAAGAATTCTTCGAATTCACGAGAAAGGGCGGCTATCCCCCTCATCTTGATCTCGATCTGAACAAATATTGGGCAGACAATGAGGAGGATGACGACACACAGAAGTCAACCCTTCCGCAAAACAGCATTTTCGACTCCACTTACCTGTACCAGTTAGGTGTTATGATGTTGAAACTGGTACCGGATCGGTTTACGGGCGTCGGAACGCCGGCCAATGGCAAGAAAATCTCCGACGTGGAAAAGTACAACCGCGATCAAATCAAGGCTGCGGAGGAAAGAGCGAAAAAGGACAAGAACAAAACGAATTTTGCTGGCTTCCCAATTGACGATATCTTCAACCGTCCCAACGTGGGACAGTTGAACGATTGGTACAGCGATGCCCGGTTTGCCCAGCAGCAATTCACGGGAACGAATCCAACAACAATTAAGCGGGCATCGGATACTTGGCTTGATCACTTCGTTGAAGCTGCAAAGACACCGGAGGATGCAGTCCCGAAGGAGACCATCGAGAAACTTATTGCTAAGGACAAAAAGTCCTTATATATACAGGATTACAGCAATTTTCGGAAGTCTGCAGGATTCACGAACCTCAAAGCTGATATCGAATACCATGGCTGGTTTCAAAGTCATCGTTATGGCTGCGCGGCAGTATGTCTCTTCTTTCTCGATGGAAAAGGGACGCTTCATCCGCTCGCAATTGTTACAGACTGGCGAGGTAGCTTGGAAGCCTCCGTGACTATCTACAACCGGGAATTGTTCAAACGGATCAATCTCCTGACCGGAGAGTCAAACCAGCCCAATATGGCGGAGAAAAATGTTGATGAAGCTCAGGACTGGCCGTGGAGATATGGTATTTTGTCCCTCAAATCCCGTCTTCCGCACCATATACTAACCGCGTTTTCTTCCCCCATTAGCCAAAACCTGCGTCCAAACGAGCGATTGGTTCCAGCATGAAGTCTCCGCGCATCTTACTCGTACCCATCTGGTGGAAGAGGCTATAATTGTCTCCGCGAACCGACAATTCGATCCCAATCACGCTGTCTTTAGGATCCTTCGTCCGCACTGGCAAAAGACATTGGCTCTCAATGCTGCCGCCCGGGGAACCCTCGTTCCGAGTGTTATTCTTCGGATTGTCGGTTTCAATGAGGAGCAGGCCTTGAAGTTCATTCGAACCGAATACCAGGCCTACAATTTCGAGCAAAGCTACGTGCCATTGGATCTCCGCAGTCGCGGTTTCCCTCCAGAGGAACTTGACTCGCCAAAGTTTCATAACTACACCTATGCCAGATGTGTCAACAACATGTGGAAGAAGATCAGAAGCTATGTCAAAAATATGCTTACGCTGGAATACGGGTGTGGTCTTCGGAGGAAAGAGATCGACAAGAAAGTCAAGAATGACAAATCAATTCGGAAGTGGTGCACCGAGATGCGCAGTCCAGATGGTGCCGATCTACGCGGTTTCCCCAAAATCGAAAACTTCGAGCAGCTCATCGACTGCGTGACGATGTGTATTCACATTGCATCACCCCAGCACACTGCAGTAAACTATCTGCAAGACTACTATCAGGGATTTGTGATTAACAAACCATCCTGTCTCTTTGCCCAGCCTCCAAGGAAATTGGAAACTCTACTGGCGTACACCGAGCAAGACCTTCTGAAGGCACTGCCGATCAATCATCCACATGAATGGCTGTTATCTTCGCACGTTCCATACTTGCTGAGTTTCAAACCAGACAAGCAGAAGGAAACGCTAAAGGGGTGCATTGACTCGGCTCTAGCGCTGATCCATCCTGAGAATCCGGATAATCCCCCGGCAAAATACCGTGTCCTCAACAAATTCTCTCAGGCACTCAAGGAAACCGACGAAGAATTTAAGAATTATGCTAACGAAAAGTGGGACGCCAAGGATATCCCTTACTCCATCTTGAATCCAGACTATAATGCGGTGTCGATTTTGATTTAGCTTTTGCAAGTCAATGGCAGACCTGGAGAATCGAACATTCCAGATGTCTCGGACTCATCGGCCTAGTGAAAAGCTTTTGTTTTGGGGGAAACTGTGGCCTTGAGCTGGCCGGCAGGTTAAAGGATTCCGGAGGGACTTAAAAAAAGTTTTGTACTGTCTTTTTACCGTGTAAACATATGACTTTTTTACTATGCACTTTGCTTATTAATTATGTCCAAACAGATTGTCAAAACCGGACCATTATTGATTTTAGTTAGAGAATTTTACCATTATGAATTTACCGGTACGCTCGCTATACACCTGATTTCTATTAGTTATAAGCCCGGAATCGCTTCAATTTTGATCTCTTTTCTATCCATTTGTTAAATCTTATATATATTAAGCTATTAGCTATATTAAGATAACAACCCCTAAATCGAGTCAACCCTTAAGAAACATTAATAATAATATCGGAAATCTGACTTACGAACGTTAATTAAACCCTTACGATATCGGATTACACTCTCTCCGCGAATTCGTCCTCTCGCGTCACCTTAAAGGACTTATCGGACTAGGAGCTATAGCTCTCGATAATTAAAACTATTACGGAGTAGTTCGAGATCTAGGATCTATATAATCTAAATTTAGATACGGAGCCTACTCTACCGGAAGAACTAACCGAACCGAGTTAGGAGGATCTAAGAAAAGTCCGGAATATTGACCTTTACCCACCCCTTTACCACCTACCATTTATAGCTACACCGCCATTGACCTCCAACCTACGGGGCGTCGCGTACCTAGATATATCTCGTGTTTTTACCTATCTAAACCTGTCCCTAGGGCTGAGACTTACTCGTCGAAAATAAGTAATTTGTAACTGTAACCATTTTCTGTTCGTGGCAGCACTGCCCGCTGGATTTCATTATTACTGTGCTCCCCGAAATCCACAACATTGGCCATATAAGGGTTATATTTAGTACGCATCTTGCTCGTGACAAAGCGAGGTTGAAGTGATAAAGCGAGGCTGGAGAGATGAAAGCGGAAGAAAAAAGAAGGTCACTTACAGCTTTCTCGATCAAAATGGGAAAATGTACCTTTTGCCGCACGGGCGGATATTCAGGTGAAGAATATTCAGGTGGGTGAATATCCGCCCGGAGTGCCCTGAGGAGGACTGAATAGAGCGGCGAGCCGCCCATGCCCGAACCGTGGGCGCTAGGTGACCACGACCTTAGACATGCTGTTGTATGTTTTTGTTTTTTCTCTTAGCTCTATTCAAGAGCTATCTGCCTACATAGCTAATAGGGGTGGATATCTGACGCATAACGGGAATCTAACATGCCGTAGATCTCTAAGCACAGGGACGTATATGTCCTCCAGAAAGTATCATCAAAAACAATACTCTAGGATCATTTATTGTTGAGTGCCTGGGTGCCTGGGTGCCTGAGGCCCAGGGTCCCACTTGGGACAGATCCTCTTTGTGCAGTAGATAAGTCTCTCCTTCTCTCCTTCTCCTCTCCGTCCAACCGCAAGCAGAGAATCTTACAGTGTTATTTCTCCAATCTCAACCACGTAGATTCTCTGTTACTTATATCAAGCTTCGATAAACATATTGATTATCTTCGTTCATATGGAGATTTGTGCGCTAGACGAAATCTTCTATAACAAGTAAATCACATTTGACTTTCTCAACAATCAACCTACTCTGTGGGCGTGGTTTTATTCGAGCTGGCTTTCTTATGAGTAGGAGAAGAAATGTTTTGTAATAAAATTATTGGGAATTAGACGGTCTTTGAAATGCTCTTTTGAACACAACGTTATCTATCATAGCAGGGATCTGGGATATTATCGTAGCAAAATGAGAATTTTTATATATAAAGAGCTTCAAACATTAGACCCTAACACCAGTAGATGCAATTACGTCTAATTAATCAAATCGTATAGATCATGCAGCCAAAGCAATGTGCTAAACAACAACAGGTTCAATCTCAAATCGCATCTGCGGCGCGGTCGAATTGCACCAAGTGACAATACGGGTGATCTTCATCGTGCCCCTAGGGAATGAAGAAAGAACAAGACAAGCAGTAGCTTTACCTAACTTCGTCCCTAGGAGTTCCTGATACTCAGCACTACCATGCTTAAATACCATACAATCAACACTTTGTGCCTGTGACCATATAACACCCCGTCTGGGATATAGCTCATCACGTATATATGGGGCTGTTTCTTCGTTGCTGACGTCAGTAAAGATAACATGTCTCAGAGTTTTCAAGTTATAATCAAGCAAATATTGAGCTCGAGCAACCTCGTTCCAATGAGGACCGTCTTCCCTATAAATTTTCTCAGCAACGAGAACACCACGAGTAACCCGATGCTCGAATTCATTAGCCTCACTCGCCTTTGGCCCTGGGTCCCGTCGGAGGTATGTGTAGCGCCACCGCGGACCGCCGCGAGCAATATTCATCGATTCGACGTCGCCGCCTTCCAATGCTATGGGCTCGACGGCGAAGTACGATTCATCGACTGCCCAAGGCATTGATTGCGCTTCATCGGTCATCTCCTCTATGGTTAGTGTTGCTGGTTTAATTCGGCACCCTGGCGCTTGGGGATCGTCGATCCATGCTTGGTATCGTGCTCCTATCTTCCTGTACCTGGTGACATCTTTCGTCGTCGGTTCGAGGCCGGTCCTCACTCTCCCACTGGACGTGTCAGTCGAGCCTTCAAGACGCTGGCGCTTGTTGCTGGCGCTACCGCCCCTCGATCCATAAAGACCCCTGTGTTCAGCATCGGCTTGAGATTGGTTATCGAGAGAACGCCGACGTCTCCTGTCACTAGGATCACTCGGCCATTCTTGGCTGGTGCTTTCGGGTTCCTCGGACTCTGCTGGATCTTCGTACATTTCTTCGTCCTCATCTGGGTCATACATCTCTTCGTCGTCATCTTGGCCCAGATCGAGGCTGTCTTCATCAGCTCCATTATAGTCATATTCATCGGTATTGTGTTCGCCTGCACTCACGAATTGGTGGCTTTCTCCTGATTCTGGGAGTGAGTTATATTGGGACTCATTGAGGCCAGCATCACTCGTCGCGGGAGTAATACCCCTTTGTGAATTTCTTGTTGAGAGGGAATATGGGTCATCGCCCAACGAAGAGTCATCATCGATATTTGTCACACTCATCGGGGGTGTTATTGCTGTGTGAGAAGTCTTGTCTGACAGGGAAACCTCGCTGGGTGGGGGAGCTGGAGGATAACCATCATCACTGCTATTCTCATCTTCACTGCTGTCTGAACCTGTTATTCCTGTGTGAGAAATCTTGTCTGACAGGGAAACCTCGCTGGGTGGGGGAGCTGGAGGATAACCATCATCACTGCTATTCTCATCTTCACTGCTGTCTGCACCTGTTATTCCTGTGTGAGAAATCTTGTCTGACAGGGAAACCTCGCTGGGTGGGGGAGCTGGAGGATAACCATCATCACTGCTATTCTCATCTTCACTGCTGTCTGCACCTGTTATTCCTGTGTGAGAAATCTTGTCTGACAGGGAAACCTCGCTGGGTGGGGGAGCTGGAGGATAACCATCATCACTGCTATTCTCATCTTCACTGCTGTCTGTACCTCCACTGCCGGCTTGGGGTTGGTTAGCTGGAGCTACTTCCCGTGGGCGGTTAGGTTGGGCGCTGTCGTCGACACAATCGCACCGGCGTCTTGGAAAACACAACAGCGAGTGGCGAATCGTCCTCAACATTGTTCTGGTATTTTAGGTATAATTAAATCTATTGAAGTAAGATATTATCAAGTATTAGCGTTGGATAATTTGCTTAGAACGAAGAACATGAGACATGCAGAGGGGGGTTATATAGCTAGTCTTCAACATTTCAATGGCCTTTGTTGAATGAGATTATTGTTAGCCCCATCGTGATCAAACACAAAGTTTACCAGAAATAGGATCAAAGGAAATAAAAATAAAGGCTGAACAATCAACAACAGTCCGACGTGGACAAGGAAGGGATCCAAACATAGTCTTTAAAGACAAAGAAACTCGAAGTGGAGGGAATAACCTTGAGAAAACAATGACAATGACATGGTATATGAACTTAAGTTAAAGATAGTAAACTTGAAAGTCGAGAGAGTTCCAAGAATAGAAGACAAAGAACTTGACTTGAGACTCCTTAAGAAGAGTGTTGCCAATACCATATTTTGCATCAATTGGACAATCTCATTATGTGGATGAAATGGATCAACTATATCATGCTACCATGGTGAAAGAGGCAACTATGTTTGATCTCCAATATCAAGTTCTTAGGAGAGATTGTATTTACTTAGTGTAATAGAAGTAATAGAAATTTGAAATTCTTGACAGGCTCAATATGATGGCCTCATTTATTTAAATTGTACTCTAGTACAACCCATTCAATCGTCATCATCAGACATAGTATATACAGTTCGCAAAGCCTCAACAAATTCAATCAATATTTAAGCATTCTCCTTCTGGTCAATGGCACCCTTCTCCTCGGTCCGCATCCAGACATCCACCTCAGCAGCCTCACCCTGGGGCAGGTGACGAGCCATGGAGACAATATCCCATGGAGTCGGGGCATCGCGGAAGACATGGTTCAGAGCCTCCAGGTTGCGGTTCATGGTCTCGGGGAAGAAGAAGTAAACCGAGATTGGAATGCAGGCAGAGATGACAGCGTACACGATGTAGTACTTGTATCCAATGGTGTCGAGCGCGACGGGGGTGATCATAACAACCACAAAGTTCCACAGCCAGTGGTTACCAGTCGAGATGGCGGACATGGCGACACGGAGACGCATAGGAGCGACTTCGGTACAGTAGAGGAAGTTACCGCCGAGGAAACCGACGGGATAGAAGGAGTTGAAAAGGAAGATGAAGACAGCCGAAACAATCGATGCGTTTTTGTTGTCCTTGAAGCTATTGGTGATGGCGAGGACAGTCATGCAGACACACATACCAGTACCGCTGATCATGAAAATCTTTCGGCGGCCGAATCGATCGATGGCGAAGAAGGCAATGAAGCTGCAAAGGAACTTCCAAGTCATGGCACATGAAGACAGAATGCGAGCCAGGTCGCTGTCCATGTTCAGGTTCTCTTCGAAGATTGTTGACACGTATGTCGAGATCAGGTTTCCACCACACATCTGCTGGAAGAATTGCAGTGAGACGCACAGACAGAACCGGTATAGAAGGCGCTCATCGTCGGGCTTGCTAAAGCTGAAGATATCCATGAGGGAGGCACTGTTAACCGTACTTTCGAGCGAAGTCTCAATGCCAGCAATTTCGACGCGGACGGTCTCATCCTCGTCAGCCAGACCCTTGTAAGCAGCTAGACTGCTGGCAGCCTCTTCAATGCGGCCAACTCGCACGAGCCATCGAGGAGACTCGGGAAGCAAAAAGACCGAGAACACGACAACGAGGGAGAAGAATAGGGAAATGGCCAAGGGAATACGCCACTGCGATGCGCCGGAGGCTTTGCTCAAGCCAAAATCAATCCAGTTACAAAGCACGTAACCCAAACAGATACAGATACCGTCCACAACAACGTGTTGTCCACGATGTTTGGCCGACGTGCACTCTGACTGCCAGACGGGAACGGCAACACTCAGTTGACCGACACCGAGACCGAGGATGATACGGCCGACGACGAATTGTGGCAATCCAAAAGCCGCGGTCTGCAGTACTGCGCCGATGATAGTAAGGATAGCACCCAAGAAAATGGTCTTGCGGCGACCGAGACGGTCACCAAGGAATGTACACGACAAGGCTCCAAATAGAGCACCGAGCTGGAATGACCCAATCACGGTACCTTTGGCTGTGGAGTTTTGGGCGCGTTGAGCACCCGTGGAGTTGATTGTGTCGATTTCAGGGAAAACACTGACCCAGCTCTCCAATGTAGCCAGAGGGCCCAAGCCAGACTGGTTGTAACCGAAGACGATGAAGGCAGGTGCTACGATGAGCAATGCCTGTGCTACGCTCAGCGCCTTTCCCCGGAATAAGCTGAGCATGTTGGAGTGTATATAGAGAAGGTCACTCTGAGGGATGAGAGAAACAAAGATAAAAGGACGGATCTCTCCATGGGTTTATACCCTGCTTCGGTCAATCTCCTCGTGGAGACCCCGCATCAGAAAAAAAAAATAACACACACTGTACTTGGTACAGTATTTTGTACCTGTGGGCTGGAGAATTCCACAGTGGATAACATATCTCCACCATGGTACCACTTCTTTTGACAAATGTCCGACTGTGACTCGGCCGTGTCGCCGACTCCACGGGGTAGGTTTAGTCCCGGTGGTGCAAGGATCCCGTTCCTTTGCCACTCCCGAGTCAAGACCACTTTGATCCTTGAGCTTTGGGGCCGAAAATCAAAGTGAAGTTAGGGTTGATTGGATGGAATGCCGAAAATCGGAGCACGAACGGGGTTCCCGATCCCATCTCTCTCATATTACCCATATTACCCATATTACCCATACTACCCATACTACCCACATAGTTATATATGGAATGAAGTAGAGAAGAGGTAGGGGAGAAAACTTATTTGAGGGGAATTTATTTTCCGACGAATGCCGGCACTTCCAGTTTTTCGGTTTGGTTCCCAGCGACTCATTGCCTAATTCGGGCCGGTCTCGGCATTGATAGGTCAAGAAAAGGCTTGAGCTAGCCCTAAAGGCTTGTCCACTTCCGCCAAGCGAATCTAACCTGGGGTGCTGAGGGGAAATGCAACTGCACCCCACCAATCTCGGTCACTCTCCGGATTTGCCCGTATTATTTGTACACTGTTTCTTATGTTATATATTCAAATCGTGGGGGGATTGTGTCATTGAAACGTCGACGAAAAAGAAAAGGAAGTCATTCTTTTTAAACCAACCTGCCTTGTCCTTTACTATGTACATCGCATTCTTCGCTGGTGGATCCCTTCCCGCGTTCTCCGAAAGATGCCCGAGGAGTATTGTTGAGAAAAGACTCGGTCAAGATCGCACCTCCACACCGTGGACGTATCCGGCTCACCCGCAGTCAGAGATTTCAACATTATTTGCAAGATCTAGCAGATGTGGGTAAAAAAGCTGACCAATAACCAAGTGGATGTATTAAGCAAACATATATATGTCAGCGGTTTTTGTAACGGCCAGATTGAAAGAACATGCTCGCATCTATGTTGTACACCGGATAGCATAGAGCCTCAACCACCCTAACCTAGGGATCTTCTTTCGCGGTGTCCTGATACGCTTCGAATATTTGCATCGATCACCTCCAATCCTTGACCAGGCCAGACGATAGACCCACATCTGTCCCATCTGCGGTCATGTTGCAAATTTTTATTCATGGATGGCACCGGTAAAGACTTACATCGGTTAGGTACGTAGTACAACTTGCCGTCTGAGAATTGAGTATCCCCGATCTCGGGCACCCTGCCCAGCTGAGCTTTGAAGGATTGATATTATTTTATTAATACATATGTAATATTCGAATTGGTCTTGGCCCTAGAAGCGAATTTCCCGTTAAATTAAGCGCGTCTGCGTACGCGTCATATCCATGAGCCTTTATCGGTGCGCGTGACCCAGTCTCCCGCCCCCTATGGACTACGATATTTGAAGTTCGACCTTCCCTTGTAATTCAAGAGGTTTGCATTTCACTTTCATAATACTCTCGTGTCTCGGACTCATCTGTAATCAACATCCGAAACCATATCGCCTACTACAAGCTCCTCGGTCTTCTATGGAAGATATACTTTGTCGGAAATCCGAACCCGAGAGCCAAGGTATTAGTATCCCGGGCCACTTGATGAGGGTCATATGCCAAGGCACATATATATAACGTATTTCACAAGCGAGCCGCATCTCCAAAACACATCGTAACCGTGCCAAGTGCCAAGTGCCCAACACATCTATCGGGGGTACTGGTGCGCCCCAGCAGATACAATATTTTCAGATGCAAAATGTAGAAATCAAGCATCTTTTATATGACTTACCTATACTCAAGGCATTGAGGCACCCTGTAGACATAACACACTTTTTCTCGGCCCTCGAACTAGTTAGGGGATATATAAAAAGGTATATAACTAGTTATGGTGTGAAGTAAGTCTATATTATTTGACCAAACTTTAGTAAGGAATATTAAGTATACTAAAATAAAGAAATTATTTAGGCGTATAACCATGATTTACCCTAATTAGCATTTACCCGGGTATTTAGTACTAGCTACGGTTAACTAGTTAACTAACTAGAGAGGCTAGTACGGTAGTTACTCTCCCTAGTTAGAGAAGCAAAACTAGGCGAGGAAGGCAAGAAGGTATAGTTAATGTATTGCTCTATATTTATATCTCTCTTAGATCAATAAGATCACTAGTATAGTCCTAAATAGGAAACTCTGATTTTAATGATAATGGGTCTGATCTTGTAGAGCAGGATCAAATTGTTAAATCGGTCCAATTGCTTACAAATTGGTATAGATGGATGGATTGGCGGAGCCACATAGGGGAGGCGGGATTATATTAGCAGGCCTTGACCGCCTACTATGTATATTTCTACAACATAAGTTATCGCGGCCGTCATTATAGGGTCCTACGGTTCCCTCCAGTTGCTAGAAAACCAGGCCAGGCTCAGAAGTAGTTGCGATTGGTATCCTAGGACCATATTCAAAGTTAGATTTGAATTCAAACAAATGGGCGTTACATGTTATAATCTCATTTCTATATGTTTTCATAAGACCGATAAATTAGGCAGAATAAAAGGCGGTCGGGGATCAGCGAATTGTAGTTTGTCTTCACTGCTGAATGACCTCACCTTGGCAATTAATTTCCCGCTCGTCTTTCTCCTACCACCCGAGTTCACATTATCGCAAATCACAATGGATCCGCAAGAAAACGTTGTGCCAACAGAATCCCTGTTTCGCCCAGCAAAAAAGCGCAAATTCATGCGCCGACGTCCCGATCATGAGACCCCAGACACCGAAGAGACCGATAATCAAAATGACAACCACGCGTCACAAGCTCCTGGGAGCAATAATATCCGGCGTCCACGCACAATCAGAAAGGGCGGCATTGGATTTTCTACCGCGTCACGACTAGGAGATGATCACGGCCAGCAACTAGCGCTAGTACCAGCGGCCGGAGAAACTGAGGATGAGAAGATACGAGCAATGAATGAACGTTTCACAGGATATACTGGTCAGACAGTAGATGTTGACAAGCACATGTACGAATCCTTTGCTACAGCTGGTCGTCCAATTCCTTTGATCTGGGCTAACGAGATAAGGATGGCATTCATAGATTCCGAGATGGCTAAGCGCTACCAGCCTGAATCAAAAGTGGATTATTCAGGTTCCAACCAACCAACACAAGAGGCAGTCGCCGGGGGGCTGTCGCTGCCTGGACATCAGACACGTGAACCTGCATCGCTAGGCAAACTCCACGAAATCGACCTCGGCCATGAAGCCACATTACGAAACATTGCTCGGACAGAAGCTGCGACTCGACAAATGGAGAAAGGAGAGCTGCCGACATCAGCGGGCCATGCTACATCTGAGACGAGTCGGCCTAGCTCAGACGGTAAATCATGGCGCAATCGCAAACAGAGGACAGAAGCAGACATCGCCAGAGATCGTCTTGTGGAGGAGGTACTACGTGAGAGCAAATGTGTGTTGTATTCCAACGTGAAATCTTACATGGTCTGTGTCTTGGCTAACACTAGTTGTTATAGTGGAAATTTATGATGAACACGAGGAGGAAGCACATCTTGATGACCAACAGGCTGCTGATGACCGAGTTGCCGAGCAATTCAGGCGAGACTTCATGGATGCGATGCAGTCTCGGCGTCGCACTCGGCCTGCAGCAAAACCGGTGGCCAATGTTGAAGCGCCTCGGGGTCCGAAGCTTGGAGGCAGTCGCAGTGCAAGAGCTGCAATGCGGGAAAAAGAAGCACAGGCGGGAAAGAAATGATTGTTTCTCTCATCCAAAACAGCTGGTTTCCCTTAATATGGACTTTATGTACTTGATCATATGCGACATGTGTTTTTACTCGATATTCATACGATACCATGATGATTTTTTGCGCCAATACTATTTCTGACGTCCTTTTCAAAGGGCTACCGACCAAGTACATGCACTGCTTTCAGCCGCGGGTGATCTGCGATTTGCGGCCAATTACCTGTATCCTTCTGGCCCCAAAAATTAAGATGGAGTATAAGTATTGTGGTATTACCTTAGGTATAGGGTGTACGGTACTGTTTCAGGCTAACTAGATATTTAGTTCACGAAATTGTTCCATTCCCAAGAACATCGGTGGACTATTTTTGAGTATGTATATATCCAGAGACACCCTAAGTAGTTGATGCAGCTACCCCAATAGCTAAACGTTATTTTTACCCAAGCCTTGGAGCATAATGTAAGGAACAATGAGATATGAAAATCAAACATGAGAGAAGAAGGACAAAGGAAATGATATCTTGTTTATTGGGTACATCTTGTCCGGTATAGAACCTTTTTCCTTCGGTTCGAATTATAGTAAACCACCTCACCAGTTTATCTTTACTTTCTTGTACAGCCCATTTTTTTTCAAATATCCCATACATCTCCAATATTTACAAATGTAAGTATCAAAAACATGCGAATTCAAGGAGGGTGATATCCGGATCCATGGATGTCCTGCTTAAGGTAAGGCCCTGGTTGACCACGAATGACTAAGCCAGATCTTGGACTGCCCGTTTGGGTGCTAAAGTCAAAGCTACACCCGCACCAAAAAGACCCGCCCTTCTTCTGCCTCCAACCAGCCCCTCTGATTGTCCGTCCGATACGCATGGTCACGTCTTGATTTGTCTTCTCGCGACTTAAATTAAAATATACACATACCCCCTGTGACAACTACGACCCCCCTCCTAGAGATACCCGCACAACTTTCGCGATGAACCCTTCCAACCCACCTCAAGCTGCCGAGTACGGTGGAGGTATGTGATCCCAGATATGCCATTTCAATTGGGCCTGCCATTGCGATCCCAAAGAACGCTTGGCTCC